CGCCCGAACTTCCTCCTCCCTTAGTTTATACACTTTCACCTCCCTCTTACTTGTTGTTGCCACCTTCCTCTTTTCCCATCTACCTCTTACTCTAACTGTAGCTACAACTAAATAATGGTCCGATATATCAGTTGCCCCTCTATAAACATGTACATCCTGGAGCCTACCCATCAACCTTTTATCCACCAATACATAATCTAACAAACTACTTTCATTACGTGCTACCTGGAGTTTACCTGGAGAGAGTTTCGGGGGTCAACGCCCCCGCGGCCCGGTCTGTGACCAGGCCTCCTGGTGGATCAGCGCCTGATCAACCAGGCTGTTGCTGCTGGCTGCACGCAAACCAACGTACGAGCCACAGCCCGGCTGATCAGGAACTGACTTTAGGTGCTTGTCCAGTGCCAGCTTGAAGACTGCCAGGGGTCTGTTGGTAATCCCCCTTATGTGTGCTGGGAGGCAGTTGAACAGTCTCGGGCCCCTGACACTTATTGTATGGTCTCTTAACGTGCTAGTGACACCCCTGCTTTTCATTGGGGGGATGGTGCATCGTCTGCCAAGTCTTTTGCTTTCGTAGTGAGTGATTTTTGTGTGCAAGTTCGGTACTAGTCCCTCTAGGATTTTCCAGGTGTATATAATCATGTATCTCTCCCTCCTGCGTTCCAGGGAATACAGGTTTAGAAACCTCAAGCGCTCCCAGTAATTGAGGTGTTTTATCTCCGTTATGCGCGCCGTGAAAGTTCTCTGTACATTTTCTAGGTCGGCAATTTCACCTGCCTTGAAAGGTGCTGTTAGAGTGCAGCAATATTCCAGCCTAGATAGAACAAGTGACCTGAAGAGTGTCATCATGGGCTTGGCCTCCCTAGTTTTGAAGGTTCTCATTATCCATCCTGTCATTTTTCTAGCAGATGCGATTGATACAATGTTATGGTCCTTGAAGGTGAGATCCTCCGACATAATCACTCCCAGGTCTTTGACGTTGGTGTTTCGCTCTATTTTGTGGCCAGCTACATCATACCTTGTATATTTATTTATCCTCTTTTTCATAAAATATGTTTTACTTATTACCAAATTTCTTTCTACACATAGCTCAATTAAAGGCTCCCTATTCACATTTACCCCTGGCACCCCAAAATTACCTACTACTCCCTCCATAACATTTTTACCCACTTTAGCATTGAAATCCCCAACCACCATTACTCTCACACTTGATTCAAAACTCCCCACGCATTCACTCAACATTTCCCAGAATCTATCCCCTCTCCTCTACACTTCTCTCTTCTCCAGGTGCATACACGCTTACTATAACCCACTTTTCACATCCAATCTTTATTTTACTCCACATAATCCTTGAATTTATACATTTTTTAGTCCCTCTTTTCCTGCCATAGCTTATCCTTCAACATTATTGCTACTCCTCCTTTAGCTCTAACTCTATTTGAAACCCCTGACCTAATCCCATTTTATTCCTCTTCCATTGAAACTCTCCCACCCCCTTCAGCTTTGTTTCACTTAAAGCCAGGACATCCAGTTTCTTCTCATTCATAACATCCACAATCATCTCTTTCTTATCATTTGCATAACATCCACGCACATTCAGACTTCCCACTTTGACAATTTTCTTCTTCTTATTCTTTTTAGTAAAACTTTACACGAAAAGGGTTACTAGCCCATTGTTCCCGGCATTTTAGTTGACTTTTACAACACGCAGGGCTTACGGAAGAAAGATTCTTATTCCACTTCCCCATGGATATAAAAGGAAAAGTAATAAGACCAAGAACTATTAAGAAAAAATCAAAGAAACTCAGATGAGTGTGTAAAATAAACGTGTACATGTATGTTAGTTGTGACCTAATTGTAAGTAAAGTAGCAAGACGTACCTGTAATCTTGCATATTTATGAACAGACAAAAGACACCAGCAATCCTACCATCATTTAAAAAAATTTAAAGGGCTTTTGTTTTAAAACCTCACTTGGCGGGACGGTAGTACCTCCCGGGGTTGGTTGCTGTCTACCAACCTACACCTATATATATAATATGTATATATATATATTGTATATATATATATAATAAAATGTGTATATATATTATATATTAATATATATATATATAATATATATATATTATAATATATATATTTCTTTCACACACCGCCGTATCCCACCGAGGCGGGGGGGGCCCAAAAGGAAAAACGAAAGTTCTCCTTTTACTTTTAGTATATATACAGGAGAAAGTTACTAGCCCCTTGCTCCCGGCATTTTAGTTGCCTCTTACAACACCATGGCTTACGGAGGAAGAATTCTGTTCCACTTCCCCATGGAGATAAGAGGAAATAAACAAGAATAAGAACTAGAAAGAAAATAGAAGAAAACCCAGAGGGGTGTGTATATATGTGCTTGTACATGTATGTGTAGTGTGACCTAAGTGTAAGTAGAAGTAGCAAGACCGTACCTGAAATCTTGCATGTTCATGAGACAGAAAAAAGGACACCACAATCCTACCATCATGTAAAACAATTACAGGCTTCGGGTTTAACACTCACTTGGCAGGACGGTAGTACCTCCCAGGGCGGTTGCTGTCTACCAACCTACTACCTATATATATAATGTATATATATATATATGATATATATATATATATATATGTGTATAATATATAAAAATATATTTTATATAATATATATATAATATATATATATATATATATATATAATATATATATATAATATAATAATATATACATACACACACCATCCTATTACACAATCCTTCCAAAATCCCAAAATATCCCAAACCCCTCCTTTAGAGTGCAAGCATTGTACTTCCCATTTCCAGAACTCAAGTCCGGCTATATAAAAATAACTGGTTTCCCTGAATCCCTTCCTTAAATATTACCCTGCTCACACTCCAACAGCCTGTCAGGTCCCAAAACCATTCGCCTCCATTGACTCCTATCTAAAACATTCACACACGCTTGCTTGAAGTCCAAGCCCCTCACCCACAAACCCTCCTTTACCCCCTACCTCCAACCTTATTGAGGATATCTCCTACCCTGACTTCCTTTCCTTACAGATTTATATGCTCTCCAAGTCATTCTCCCCTGTTCCACTCTAAATAACCAAACCACCTCAACAACCTCTCTTTAGCAACTCCACACCTCACACCTCCTCCTAATTTCCACACTGCAAATTCTCTGATAATATTTACACCACACACATTGCCCTTAGACATGACATCTCCACTGCCTCCACACTGCAGCATTTACAATCGATGCTTCACACCTATATAAGAGTGTTATATAAAATAGAACAGAATTACATAAGGAAGAAAGGATTCTTCCTCTGTAAGCCATGCATGTTGCAAGAGACAACTAAAATTCTGGGAGCATAAATTACTAAATTTGAAAATAAAAACTTTCCTTTTTCTTTTTAGGTTACAAAAATAATTCCATACAAAAATAAAAGTCGTAGCATAACTTGCAACATCCCTCCGCTGAAAAGCAGGGGCACCACGAGTATACTAAGAGATAATACAATAAGTGTCAGGGGTCCAGGACTGTTCAATGGCCTTCTTGCATACATAAGGGAGATAACCAATAGATCCCTGGCTGTCTTGAAGAAGGTGCTGGAGAGGCATCTGAAGTCAGCACCTGACCAACCAGGCTGTGGTTCGTATGTCAGTTGATGTGCAGTCAGCATTAACCAACTTGTTTATCAGGTCCTGATTCACCACGAAGCCTGGTCATGGACCAGGCCACAGGACACTGACCCCCAAAACCCGCCTTCAGGTATACTCCAGGTATACGCTGCCTCGGTGGGATATGACTGATTTGTTAATTTTTTTTTTTTAACATGTCGGCCGTTTCCCACCAAGGCAGGGTGACCCAAAAAAGAAAGAAAAACCCCAAAAGACTGAAAAAACTTTCATCATCATTCAACACTTTCACCATCATCCATACATAATCACTGTCTTTGCAGAGATGCTCAGATACAACAGTTTAGATGCCACTGCCAAACAGCCAATATCCTAAACCCCTCCTTTAAAGTGCAGGCACTGTACTTTCCACCTCCAGGGCGCAAGTCCGGATAACCAGTTTCCCTGAATCCCTTCACAAAATATTACCTTGCTCACACTCCAATAGCTTGTCAAGTCACAAAAACCATTCGTCTCCACTCACTCCTATCTAACATGCTCAGACATGCCTGCTCTGTCTAAGCTCCTTGCACACAAAACCTCTTACTTCCTCCCTCTACCCCCTACCCCTCCACCACAGATTTATACACCCTCCAAGTCTTCCTATTTTGTCTCTAAATGACCAAATCACCTCAACAACCCCTCCTCAGCCTTCTGAATAATACCTTTACTAACTCCACACCTCCTAATCAGCAAGCTACAACTTCTCTGCACAATATTCACACCACACATTGCCCTCAGACATAATATTTCCACTGCCTCCAACCCATGCTTTGTGTCTGCATAGGAGTGTTGGTACTACTATACTCTGATATGTTCTCTTTTTTGCCTCCATGGATAACTTTCCTTCTCTCCACAGATGCCTAATTGCACCACCCACCTTCTTCCCTCTCGTCAATTCTAAGGTTCAACTCATCTTTCACAGACCCATCCTCTGACAAGTTCACTGACAAATATATGAACACATTCACTTCCACTATACTCCCTCCTTCCAATCTGATATCCAATTTTTCATTACTCATAGTTTACAAAGGAAGGATTCTTCTTCACTTCCCATGGGGATGCAATGAAATAATATAAGAAAGAAGAACTATTAAGAAAAAAAATTCAGATCGGTGTATATACCTACATGTACTTGCAAGTGTAGTATGAACTAAGTGTAAGTACAAGTAGTAGAAAAGGCAACAGCAATCCTAGCATTGTGTAAAACAATTACAATCCCCCTTGCACTAGACATGCTCCTTAGATTTATCTGTACAAACATTTTGATAAATAAATTTAAGATTAATATATAAATAAAGCATACTTACTTTCTACCCACTTATTCTTATCAGAACACTGTAGCTCGTGGGTTACCAGATCTTTCTTATTACCCAGTAAAAGGTGACAAAGGGAACATCTTTCAATGCTGTAAGAAAATTTTTTAAATATTTAAATTTAATTACTCTTATGCTTTTAATATTTACATAATCCAGTTTTAAATATTAAACAAAATTGCTTATTAACTTCCCAAAGCAACAGGTTGCATTACACAACCTCTCTTTTAAAGCCATATCCTTTGAAGAGAGCAATATTTGAGCAATGTTGTTTATAAAAACATACTTATTGAACATCACCAACTAAACCCTTAAGTTCTTGCATATTGCTATAGTATTTGTTTTGCAAAAGTAAGATTCTACTCCCACACCTGTGGCCCGTTTTCAGAGTTCTTCTACCCTTGCAGCCTGGCCTGGGGCCAGGATTTTGTGTTAATTCCATGTTCAACCAGGATGTTGATCTTGGCGGCCTACTGGCCCACAAATTTACCATAGACATACACCTTAATACACCCATGTATTTACACGCAATAATACACCCATGTATTTACACATAATAAATTATTTCTTCAAAAGTCAATTTTTCAAATATGTGTTAATATAAACGAGGTTAAAGTAATATTTAAAATACGGCTCATGAAACAAATTTTAAAACAAAACCCAATCATTTTCATTCTCACAATTAATCTTCACTGATCAGTTGTGTGTGAATGAACTTAGTTAAATTTTGCAAGTATTGAACTGCACGCTTATTTCTTACTTTGTACAGACACTTTCTACCATAGTGAACATGCACCAGCCTGTTCTGCTGGAAATGAGACACAGATAACATATATAGGCCAATCTAGCAACCATACTTAGATGATATATATTTTTTAAGGTCAAGATTTGTGAACAAAGCTTCTGAATCAAGGTAAGCTGCTTTGCTAATAGTAATGAAATATTAAGGTATACATTACCCTTGTATAATGATATACTTTCTTTGCTTGATTAGCTCCAAAAATATCTCATCAATCCCAAACTCTTGTGCAATTTCTCCAGGGCTGAGAAGACCTTGCTCCATCCGATTCAAAACTGAAAGCACTATATCCTTACGTATCATTGTATTACCAACATCAACCACCTCAATGCATTTTCGATCTTGAGTGCCACTCTCTACCACATATTCTATACTATCAGCTTCTACCTGAAAAAGAAAAACTTTATAAACATGGTGGAGAGTACATGTTTAAATATTAGTAAACTATAATACTGTACATAAATGTTCTGAAATGCATTCTCTTAACACCGTATTGTACCTTCAATCAGTTATCTGATATTCCTCCATTAATACCTTTTCTAACTGCATGCACCATCACTCTAACATACGAACCACTGCCTCTAATCTTTCTTTATATTTCTTCTCATTCAGCCTTCTCACCTACTCCCTTCACACAATCTTTCCAATACAATTCTTTTCATAAAACTTCCATTAACAGACTGGTTCCATATTCTTTCTACTCACTTAACTCCATATCCACTTGCTAATTACTCTATACTATCTGCCACACAAATATACTTTAGCTAAAGTCCAGGGAGCATTTGTCCAGTCCAAGAAAAAATGGCTTTTAACCCTTTCCAGACCCCTAAAATTAATATCCCTCTCACTGTCTATGTAGAAAAAAAAATTCTTCTGAAATAGTAGAGAATCTTTTTCTAAAAGTAATGACATCAAAAGTACAAAACTTGATGGAAAATATATGGAATTATGCAGTTGCAAACTTAGTAAACAGGCACAATTTATGCATCAACAATTTCACCCATGCCCTCCATTCTATCAACTAAGCACAGAAGTCAATTTTACACAAGAGTACAAAATAAACACTAGATATTCCCTCTGTTCATTAATCACATCCCCAGGCCTCTCCTATAATACACTTTCCTTCAATTCTGAATTCGATATCACACAAAAAATCTAAGATTTACCCTATTTCTTAGATAATAAAATATAACCAAGTAATGACTGGTTATGATTTCTGGTATCCCAATAATTAAATAAGACCTATTAAAAACTCATAAAACAGACTGGGGGTGTAGGGAAGCCATACTTGTACTCACAAAAATCACCAAAAATTTAATATTTTTGCAATTTTGAGCTCAATTTCAAACTACTTTTGATCCTGAAACCAACAAAAATTATTTCTATGTCAGTAGTATATCTTAAATTACATCAAATGACAGCAAGAAACACCCAATGAAACAATAAAAAGCATTCTCGACAACACCTCAAATGTGTTATTTTAAACTAAGCACAAGGTCAGAGTTTTGATTTTCTCAGCAATGCACCTCATGAGGCAGGTTTTTTACACTGTGCACACTCACTGCACAAACTCATTCTCTCTCTGTTCTGAACTGTGCTCTGAAAGGATTAATGAACATGACTGTAGATTGAGCTGATGTTGGGAAAAATTCTTGAACCCATTATCCTTGAAATGTGCTAATACTTTTATTGAATACTGAACATTTAGAATACAGTTGGTAATTTTTTTTTTTTTTTTCAACAAGTCGGCCGTCTCCCACCGAGGCAGGGTGACCCAAAAAAGAAAGAAACTCCCCAAAAAGAAAATACTTTCATCATCATCATTCAACACTTTCACCACACTCACACATTATCACCAACATGTGGAAATTCCTTGTAGAAGTCTTGAGTTAGAAATGCAGTCAGCATTGCACTCAAAACAGTACGAGAACAAGGTAAACTTGAACTATCAATAAGGGCAGGCTTCCCTCCTCACACCCTCAGTGATTCAATAAGCAAACAAAAATAACCTAACAGTTTTTCATTGAAAAGCATTTCATTATTTCTTTCTGCCTAAAAACAGAATCATTAAACTATTACACATTTACTACAGAAATCCTTGTAATTCTCATCTTCCATCACCTGTTTTAACCAATTATTCCTGTGACACTGTCAACAGTATGTTACCTGAATATAGCATTCTCAACAACTTATCCCTCTTTCATAAATATCAAACAAGAGATACAATTTTATAACAGCAGCCTTATACTTCCTTTATAAAAAATTATATATATAAACTACTGTATATTAATATTTTGCAGTACAGTACCTTACAATCCTGAACTGCAAAATTTTCACCATTGTTTTCTGTGGCTTCTGCTACAGTTTCTCCCTCCTCCTCCTCCTCCTCCTCCTCTTCCTCCTCTTTTTTGCCACTACCTTGCTTAATTCCCTGTTGGGCTCTTAATTTTGCCTTTTGGATTTCTGAAATTTCAAGGTAAGTTTTACAAAAGTACCGAATAAAACAATGACCAAATATCAACAAGAACATTTCACAAATTTATATTACAATAAGTGTAGCAATGCAGCAAAAAGACTGGCAGTAGTAAATGAGATGATTCCAGATAGCCATGAAGAAACTCATGAAGAAATTTGAAATGGAGAGAGATTTTACAGGTCAAATGGATGGAATCAAGTAAAGTATGGCAAGCAAAATCCAAATCTGACTATAGTTATGCCTGTGTGAGAAGAGTGCTTCATATGACCCACATGGGATAATACTTCCCCTAAAATGTTTTTATTATTATTATTAACACATTGGCCGATTCCTACCAAGGCAGGGTGGCCCGAAAAAGAAAAACTTTCATCATTCACTCCATCACTGTCTTGCCAGAAGGGTGCCTTACACTAGTTATAAAACTGCAACATTAACACCCCTCCTTCAGAGTGCAGACACTGTACTTCCCATCTCCAAGACTCAAGTCCGGCCTGCCGGTTTCCCTGAATCCCTTCATAAATGTTACTTTGCTCACACTCCAACAGCATGTCAAGTATCAAAACCCATTTGTCTCATTTCACTCCTATCAAATACGTTCACGCATGCATACTGGAAGTCTAAGCCCCTTGCACACAAAACCTCCTTTACCCCCTCCCTCCAACCCTTCCTAGGCTGACCCCTACCCTGCCTTCCCTCCACTACAGATTTATACACTTTCGAAGTCATTCTGCATTGTTCCATTCTCTCTACATGTCCAAACACCTCAACAACCCCTCCTCAGCCCTCTGGATAATAGTTTTGGTAATCCCACACCTTCTCCTAATTTCCAAACTACGAATTCTCTGCATTATATTCACACCACACACTGCCCTCAGATGTGACATCTCCACTGCCTCCAGCCTCCTCCTCGTTGCAACATTCATCACCCATGCTTCATATCCATACAAGTGTGTTGGTACAACTATACGCTCATACATTCCCCTCTTTGCCTCCAAGGACAAAGTTCTTTGTCTCCACAGACTCCTAAGTGCACCACTCACCCTTTTCCTCATCAATTCTATGATTCACCTCATCCTTCATAGACCCATCTGCTGACACATTCACTCCTAAATATCTGAATACATTCACCTCCTCCACACTCTCTCTCTCCAATCTGATATTCAATCTTTTGTCACCTAATCTTTTTGTTATCCTCAACACCTTACTCTTTCCTATATTCACTTTCAATTTTCTTCTTTTACATGCCTACCAAATTCATCCACCAACCTCTGAAACTTCTCTTCAGAATCTCCCAAAAGCACAGTGTCATCAGCAATGAGCAACTGTGACAACTCCCACTTTGTGTTTGATTCTTTATCTTTTAACTCCACACCTCTTGCTAAGACCCCTCGCATTCACTTCTCTTACAACCCCATCTATAAATATATTAAATAACAATGGTGACATCGCACATCCTTGTCTAAGGCCTACTTTTACTGGGAAATAATCTCCCTCTCTCTTACACACACTAACATATGTTTCATGTACTCCTCCAAGGCATTAATATTGAGACAGGAGAAACATGAGCTAGTATATATAGGTAAAAATGTTACTGAAGTTACTAGATGAATTTTATGACAATCAGTACAATGAGAATGGTCTCCATCGAACTCCAGCATACAAACTTTACCATACTGCAATATTTTTTTATAATATTTTGTCAGAATTTGACTGAACAAGCAATGTACAATATACATTTTACAGGAAAAGGATAACTCACTAAATATAAAAAGAAAAAGTAAAAGTTGAGACAGGTCAGAATAAACACGAGAAACAATGAGATGGAATTCAACGAAAATGCAATTTTTAAAGCTTGTCTGACAGCTGTATATGGAAAAGTTAACATTTCAAAGAGAACAAACAATTATCCTTAAGACAATTTTCTAATAGATGACTAATTATGACTACTGCCTGCAATTGATAAAATTTTAAGCACAATTTTTTAAATACACCAAATATTTCATAATACAAAGTTTTTAAAAATATATTTTCTCATCATTCTTTTACAAGGTTTCAGTGGTCACATAATACATCATCCTAGGAAGTTAGTCACTGATTACTGTGACTCACCTTTATCAATTTCTTTAATAGAGCCATAAAACTCTGGGGGATCTAGATGAAGGTAGCCCAGCATTTGATTACCCTTCTGGAGTGCATCAAAGTTCCTGACACGCCGAAGCAAACCCAACCACTTCTTTATAACACATTTGCGGTTAACCCATTCCCCAATCTGAAAAATTTACTACATTGAAGATTAACATACTTCTTGATTATTAAAACTGTTAAAGTGTAACAGATTCTCACATTTTTTAGTTAATATTCCAACTTAACTTCATTTTGTTTCAATATTGCTTAATTTTCTATGCAAGTTTCAATTTAACTTAATTCTCACCCCATGTTTCAATTTCACTAAATTATCTTTCTTTCAGTTTTACTTCAGTCTCCACCTGTTTCACTGTCCTGTATTTCATTCCAAGTATGGGATATATCAAAGAACTCTAGTGACACTCTCTAAACTAAATACAGAGTACATCATACTCTTGAAAATATAACATACTTAGTCAGCCCTTGATTTGTGCTGAGAATGCATTCATGGGAAAAATGGGTAAAAAATGTTTTGGTAAACCAAGTATGAAGTTCTAGGCTTAGATAGGGCTATGTTCCAGACACCCTCATTTGATTTTTTTTTTTAAATACATCAGCTGTTTCCCACCCAAGGCAGTGTGACCCAAAAAATAAGAAACACTTTCATTATCATTCACTCCATCACTATCCTGCCAGAGGTATGCCTACACTACAGCTATAAAACTGCAACTTATCAACACCCCTCCTTCAGAGTGCAGGCACTGTACTCCATCTCCATGACCTCCAGTTTCCCTGAATCCCATCATAAATGTCTCTGCATTTTTTAGAAAGTCAGCTGAGTATGAGTGATGGTTAATGTGTTTCATTTTTTTGGGTCACCCTACCTACATGGAAAATGACCAATATATTAAAAAACAGTACATGATGTTTAGTTCTTACCACTAATGTAAGACTATTTTCATACACAGCTTCTGCCATAACCATGATTATATAAATGTTATGCCTTGTACTGAACTTCCAAACAACAGTACATGTTTTGCATGCGACAAACTAATGATATCAACTCACAGACACTTGCAGCTCCTTTGCCAGTAATTCCATGACATTCGTGTAGGGTTTTTTGCCAACTTTAGCCTTTGCTTCTCCAATCATAACAACATGATCCCTCATACACTTCAAGAGTATGGCTTCATATTCCCTAATCCAAGTTCTTGGTGCTGAAATATAAAATAAACATAAATGCAGGGAGCAATGGGCTAGTAACCCCTTCTCCTGTAGACATTTACTAAAAAAAGAGAAGAAGAAAAACTTTATAAAACTGGGATGCTTGAATGTGCGTGGATGTAGTGCAGATGACAAGAAACAGATGATTGCTGATGTTATGAATGAAAAGAAGTTGGATGTCCTGGCCCTAAGCGAAACAAAGCTGAAGGGGGTAGGGGAGTTTCGGTGGGGGGAAATAAATGGGATTAAATCTGGAGTATCTGAGAGAGTTAGAGCAAAGGAAGGGGTAGCAGCAATGTTGAATGATCAGTTATGGAAGGAGAAAAGAGAATATGAATGTGTAAATGCAAGAATTATGTGGATTAAAGTAAAGGTTGGATGCGAGAAGTGGGTCATAATAAGCGTGTATGCACCTGGAGAAGAGAGGAATGCAGAGGAGAGAGAGAGATTTTGGAAGATGTTAAGTGAATGTATAGGAGCCTTTGAACCAAGTGAGAGAGTAATTGTGGTAGGGGACCTGAATGCTAAAGTAGGAGAAACTTTTAGAGAGGTGTGGTAGGTAAGTTTGGGGTGCCAGGTGTAAATGATAATGGGAGCCCTTTGATTGAACTTTGTATAGAAAGGGGTTTAGTTATAGGTAATACATATTTTAAGAAAAAGAGGATAAATAAGTATACAAGATATGATGTAGGGCAAAATGACAGTAGTTTGTTGGATTATGTATTGGTAGATAAAAGACTGTTGAGTAGACTTCAGGATGTACATGTTTATAGAGGGGCCACAGATATATCAGATCACTTTCTAGTTGTAGCTACACTGGAGAAAAAGGGTTTAGATGGGATAAAAGGAAAATAGAAGCATCAGGGAAGAGAGAGGTGAAGGTTTATAAACTAAAAGAGGGGCAGTTGGGGAAAAGATATAAAAAGCTATTGGAGGATAGATGGGCTAATGAGAGCATAGGCAATGGGGTGGAAGAGGTAGGGGAGGTTTAAAAATGTGTGTTAGAGTGTTCATAGGAGTTTGTGGTTACAGGAAAGTGGGTGGGGAGGGAAGAGGAGCGATTGGTGGAATGATGATGTAAAGAGAGTATTTAAGGGAGGAAAAAGTTAGAAATATGAGAAGTTTTTTACAAAGTAGAAGTGATGCAAGGAGGGAAGAGTATATGGGGGAAAAAGAGAGGGGTTTAAAGAGAGTGGTGAAAAAAAATGTAAAAAGAGACAAATAAAAGAGTGGGTGAGATGTTATCAAAAAAATTTTTTTGAAAATAAGAAAAAAGGGTTTTTGGGGTGAATTTTAATTTAAATGAGGAAAACCAGGGAAAAAAATGGTTTTGAATTTTTTAAAAAAAGGGGGAGGGAGTTATTAAATGGAGGTTACAGGGATTGGGGGAAAAGGGGGGGAATTTTTTGAGGGGAAATTTTTATATGTTGAAAGAAAAATTTGGGAAGTGTGATTTCATGTATAAGACAAGGAGGAATAACATCTTGTAGGAGTGAGGAGGAATGAGTTGTGAGTATGGGTGAAGTTCATGAGGCAGTGGGTAGAATGAAAGGGGGTAAGGCAGCTGGGACTGATGGGATAAAGATAGAAATGTTAAAAGCAGGTGATTATATAGTTTTGAAGTGATTGGTGCTTTTATTTAATAAATGTATGAAAGAGGGTGAGCTACATAGGAATTGGCAGAGAGCATGCAACTTTGGGGGCCCAGTCCCTGGGCCCATTACGTACCTCTGTAATCTGTAAATACCTTTGTAACTTGTCATGATTGTGACCAGACTTACCTGGAGTTCATTACCTTTGTAAATTGTGAGTTCATTACCTTTGTAAATTGTGAGTTCATTACCTTTGTAAATTGTGAGTTCATTACCTTTGTAAATTGTGAGTTCATTACCTCTGTAACTTGCTCAGCTATCAAAACTTTGGAGTCCAGTCCCTGGACCAATTATGTACCTCTGTAATCTTTTGACTACCGCCCACAGGATGGGTATGGGGTGCATAATAAACATATTAAACTAACTAGTTCCTTTGTATAAAGGCAAGGGGCACAAAAGAGAATGCAAAAATTATAGGGGAATAAGTCTGTTGGGTATACCATTTGCAAAGGTAACTACTATCTCACTTGCACAACCAACTTAATACTTTCCCTCTCAAACTAAAGTCTAATTAATGGTGAAATTGGTTAAGTAACAGGCAATCGTAAACTATTACCCTGCAATTCACACTATGAATCTACACTTATCACTATGAGAAAAAAAAAATCCCTTAAAATCTGCCTAAAGTGATCAGGCCACTTAACCTTTTCTCTTTTTCTATCCACAACCTTTTCTACTGGGAAACAATTAAAGAACACCAATACAAGTAAGCCAGATACAGTGGCTTAATTAATAATACAGTAAGTCCTCAACTTACAACACATTGAGAATCTTTTGTATTGTGTATAATATTCATTATACAGGAAGTCTTCAACTTACAAACATGTTGGGGACCTTCTGTATTGTGTATCATAATTATAAATTATTATTATTATAATCAAAAGAAGTGCTAAATCTCAAGGGTAATACAGCCATAATTATAAAATAATGATATTACACACAATTATTATAATAAAAATAATGAAAAGCAGGGGTGCCATGAGTATGCTAAGAGACAACACAATAAGTGTCAGGGGCCCAAGATTGTTCAACTGCCCCCCAGCATACACAAGGGGGATTATAATTATAATTATTATAATCATGGGGAGCGCTAAACTGGTAGGATTATACAGGGCCTGTAGGGGGGATGGAAGGTATTTAGGCTTAATTTAGGGAACTAGAACACAGATCCAATTCCCTAGATCAAGAGCCCCTCTCCAGCATCAAGGAACCTCACTTGGGGGGAGGAGGAAGATTACCAATAAACCCCTGGCTGTCTTCAAGAGAGAGGTGGACAGGCACCTAAAGTCAGTCTGACTTTTTTTAATTATCCTAGGTAATCTACATATATGCTGCTATGTATGATAATTTAACTGTATTGATGTGTACTTGTACCTAAAAAACTTACTTAAAGATTAAAGATTCTTTATTTCAGCATGATACAATGTTTGTACAGAGGTGGGCAACATATAGGTGTGTAGAAACCCCCTTGGTATGCAGAGCTTTTTGGGCAAACTTAAGCCTATCTTAACATTAATAAGGCAATAAATTGTTGATTACTTATATTATTATTATAATGAAAAAGAAGCGCTAAACCTACAAGGGTCATACAGCTGATTGCTTATATATATGCTCTCAAGTGGCTTTAACAATAAACACTTTTATCGAATTGATTGTTTTAAGGATTATAAGCTGGCTTACGATTACAGGTAATGAGGATTCTAGCATGATAATATGTTTTGAAGACATTCAGTATATTTAATGGTTGTGAGTATTACAGACAATGTGAGTAAGAATATATTGTTCCATATGCTTGTGGCAGTCAGAACATGAAAATATACTTTTACTATAATTAGCTGTTGCTCTTCTGTTAATTTAAGTATACTTTCCAAGTACTCCAGGTAATAAAATATATTATTATTATAATATTCATGGTTGGGTGCTAAACCCGTAGAGACAACACAGCACCTGGGAAAGGGGAAGGCAGTCTAACTTGAGTCAAGGTATCAATGTAGGTTTAATCGCTTTGATACCTTCATTATTGTAATCATATCTAATCGCTAAACCCACAAGGGTCGTACATCGACTATAATACGTTCAACATATTCATTTTTTTAAACAACCTAGAAGATCCATAGAATTTTATAACTCAGAATATACATACAATTTTATAACGTAACCTGGGATATACATAAAAATTTATTGAATCTAAATCTAGGAATTATTATAACCTAAAATAATATGGTACTTGTAAATATACATAAGAATTTAAGTTTACTTCATTATTACATTCATGGAGGGAGCACTAACCCACAGGGATCATGCAGTACCTGAATACTAAGAAGTAATCACATTAGATTAATGGGAAAGGAGAGTAGTTCCAATTTTGAGTGTTTCAAGTCCTTCATTAACATAAGTAATGACAGCAGAGGCTCTTAGACCTACTCACTGCATCTTCAATTTGTTTCGTCGAACATGTTTGAAGCAACTCTTGGCTCCCATTAACACCTAGCTACTTGTATGAATTATTTTCTCCTTCAATAAGCATTACCTCGGTTCTTGCACTCAGAAATACATGAGAATATCTAAATTAGAGAGACTTGTTGGTGGTCTGTAAGGTACTCACGGGATTTTGTAGCTTATTTCCAAGGTCTCCATTGTATCAGACGCTGAACATGTTCGTCAGAGCAGCGAGTGTTGGTGAGGCAGCGTCTTCACTCCTGCTTGGATCTCTCAACTCTTACTCAACTATTATATCAATCCGGATGATGATGATACAAATAGTTTTATTTCTTTATGTGTTACAAAATAACGTAGTTTACAGGTAATAAAACATTGGTAAGCACAAAAGATAAGCCACTAGTATGCAATGCATTTCGGGCAAACTACTTAATAACCTCAATGGAAATAAGACACTTCAACTTTAGGGTGTCCCGCAGCTCGAGCACTAGCACACTCAGCTCACACACTCACGTCCAGGGGTCGAATCTCCTCCAGTACGGCTGGAAAACGTCAGGGACGTGTTTCCATAAGACACCTGCTGTCCCTGTCCCTGTTCACCCACCAGTTTAAAATGGATACCTGGGTGTTAATCGACTGGTTTCGGTCGCATCCTGGGACAAAACTGACCTAATTTGCCCGAAATGCTCTGCATAACAAGCGGCTTTCTATACAGGATTATATCATTCATGTCACCTATGGTTTGTATACCTGGTACATGTACTTGTAGTAAATATATTATCATTCTTATTACGTATCATTATTATTGTTATCATAGGTATTTTACAATAAAACACACACAGGAAAATTAAATCAGATAATGATCAGGCAGGATTTCAAAGAGACCTGGACAGACTGGGCACCTACTCCAGCAACTGGCTTCTCGAATTTAACCCCGCCAAATGCAGTCATGAAGATCGGAGAAGGGCAAAGAAGACCGCAGACAGAGTATAGGCTAGGTGGTCAAAGACTGCAAACCTCGGTCAAGGAGAGAGATCTTGGGGTGAGTATAACACCGAGCATGTCTCCAGAAGCACACATCAACCAGATAACTGCTGCAACATATGGGTGCCTGGCAAACCTGAGAATAGCGTTCCGATACCTTAGTAAGGAATCTTTCAAGACACTGTACACCGTGTACGTCACGCTCATACTGGAGTATGCAGCACCAGTTTGGAACCCACACCTGGTCAAGCACATCAAGAAATTAGAGAAAGTGCAAAGGTTTGCGACAAGGTTAGTTCCAGAGCTAAGGGGATTGTCCTACGAAGAAAGGTGAAGGGAAATCGGCCTGACGACACTGGAGGACAGGAGGGTTAGGGGAGACATGATAACGACATACAAAATACTGCTTGGAATAAACCAGGTGGACAGAGACAGGATGTTCCAGAGAGGAGACGCAGAAACAAGGGGTCACAATTGCAAGTGGAAGACACAGATGAGTCAAAGGGATGTTAGGAAGTATTTCTTCAGTCATCGAGTAGTCAGGAAGTGGAATAACCTAGCAAGTGAGGTAGTGGAGGCAGGAACCATACATAGCTTTAAGATGAGGTATGATAAAGCTCATGGAGCAGGGAGAGAGAGGCCCTAGTAACACTCAGTGAAGAGGTGGGGCCAGGAGCTGAGTCTCGACCCCTGCAACCATAATTAGGTGAGTACACACACACACACACAGTGCAAAGGTTTGCAACAAGACTAGTCCCAGAGCTAAGGGGATTGACCTACGAAGAAAGGTTAAGGGAAATTGGCCTGACGACACTGGAGGACAGGAGGGTCAGGGTAGACATAACGACATACTGCGAGGAATAGACAAGGTGGACAAAGACAGGATGCTCCAGAGATGGGACACAGAAACATAGGGTCACAATTGCAAGTGGAAGACACAGATGAGTCAAAGGGATGTTAGGAAGTATTTCTTCAGTTATAGAGTTGTCAGGAAGTGGAAAAGTTTGGCAAGTGATGTAGTGGAGGCAGGAACCATACATAGTTTTAAGACGAGGTATGATAAAGCTCATGGAACAGGGAGAGGGAGTACCCAGTAGCATTCAGTGAAGGGGCAGGGCCAGGAGCTGAGTCTCGACCCCTGCAAACCACAATTAGATGAGTACACACACTCGTGGAGAGAAGTTACTGGTTACGGGTAATTTCAACCACAGGGAGATCGATTGGGAAGACCTGGAGCCTCACGGGGATCCCGAAACATGGAGAGCCAAGATGATGGATGTGGCACTGGAAAACCTCATGCACCAACATATTAAGGACACTACCAGAGAGAGAGAGGGGACGATGAACCGGCAAGACTGGACCTTGTGTTCACCCTGAGCAATTCAGACATTGAGGACATCACATATGAGAGGCCCCTTGGAGCTAGTGATCAGGTGGTTCTGAGTTTTGATTACATAGTAGAGTTACAAGTGGAGAGGGTAACAGGAGTCGAATGGGAAAAGCCAAACTATAAAAGGGGAGACTACACAGATATGAGGAACTTCCTGCAGGAGGTTCAGTGGGACAGAGAACTGGTAGGAAAGTCAGTAAACTAAATGATGGAATATGTAACAACAAAATACAGGGAGGCAGAGGAAAGGTTTGTTCCCAAGGGCAGCAGAAATAATGGGAAGACCAAAGCGAGTCTTGGGTTTACTCGAAGGTGTAGGGAGGCAAAAACCAAGTTCACTAGACAATGGAAAAAAGTACAGAAGGCAAAGGACCCAGGAAAAATAAAGAGATCAGTTGAAGAGCCAGAAACGAGTATGCACAGATAAGGAGGGAGGTCCAGCGACAGTACGAAAACGACATGGCATCGAAAGTCAAGTCTGACCCGAAACTGCTGTATAGCCACATTAGGAGAAAGACTAAGTAAGTAAGTACGTAAGTAGGTTTATTCAGGTGTACACAAATACAGTTATAAAGATTATCATACATAGCAGCATATGTGTAGAGAACCTAGGATAACCCAAAAAGTCAGACAGTGACTTATTTCCATTGGGGTCCTTTTACCTTATTATTATAATATAAAGGTTATAATATTTTCTTGTTATTCTATAATGAAGATAACATCTTATTATCATACTAAAAAGACTATCTACTACACGAGGGTCATTAAGACTATCTACAATACGAGGGTCATTACTAGGAATAAGTTAAAATTACACGTGTGTTAGCTAAAAAATAAAAAAAATCATTCCCCTCCCTTTCTGTAGTTACATTCATCAGACACCTTTTGGCACTCTTCTTGAACTGGTTCATGCTATGACTAGCTTTGACATGTGCGGGCAGTCTGTTCCATTCCATTTATTGCTGTACAATAAAAGGTGTTTGAAGCCTGGCCACTGACTGTGGGTACTACAAACTTGTGCTCTCTCTCCCTAGTACTAT